TCCAAGACTGTCAACACAGAATGATTTCTTAGTGATGGGATCTTGCTGGGAAGGTCTATACTGGCCCTCTTCATCACACTGTAAACTCTGCCCTTTCCGCTGACAGTCTGTGATGCCTGTCCCAAGTCAACAGAAAGAAAAGAGTTGGATTACTATATCACTTGCTTCCAGTGCATGTGCTTGACAAAGACCTTCTAGAATGAAATAAAGCCTTTTCTGCCTGGAAGGGGGGCTCTCACATGCATTTAACAAATGGCATTTCTTAACTGAAGCCCTGAGATTTTAAATTATTATGACATATTATTGTTATTTCTATTACTGAAATGCCTAGAAATTCCCATCAGGGCTCATGACTCAATTATGCCAAGTGCTTTGGCCAAATAAAGGACAAAAAATGGTCTCTATCCAGAACTTACCATCTGTATGTGATGGATTTCTGGTTCCCATAAGGTCTTTCAACAAAAAAAGGGGAAAATTTCTCATAAAAGGAACTCTGTTTTCATAAACGTACGTGCAGTACCTAGTCCAATGAGGCCTTGTAATGTATTACTGAAATGCTGTATTACTGCAAATAACAGCGGTAAGGAACAATAAGATCCACCAAACCAATCCACTGCTGCTATTTTCCCCTTGCTCTTGAAGAAACAAGCCCGCATTGCTGCTTTTCGACTGTAAAGAACTTTGTTTGTGGTTGAAAGTGCTATTCCGAGTGCTAATTGAAACTTTTAAGGATTAAAAAGTCCTGTCCGCTCCACAGAGAAGAAATATAAAACGAGAGTCAAGATCTCACTCTTCACCTGACCCCCAGCTAAGTGAATTGTCAACACTTTTTAAGACACAACACTGCCAGCAGAAAAATCTATCAGGAAAAGAGAAGAAATCCAAATGCATGCAGAGTGTAAGTCACCTGTTGGCCTCTGAAAATAGCTTAAGTAGGAGTTAAACAGTGTATTAGTTTTGCTCTGGCCCACTGTACTGTGGGAAAGTAGATCCATATATCTAAAATCCTTTTTTTGCATTATTACTACTCAGTGGGCGCATCTACACAAGATGCTTCCTGGACATTAGCCTAATAACACTGCACAGTCGTGTTTCACGGCAAAAACAGTGCTAATCGCCTATTGCACAGTGTTATAAGGCTAATGTGCAGTAAACATCACTAAATAACTGCACCGGTGCTACTGCACAGTAACTTTAGGTACTGCACATTTAGTTAATACTTTATTAACGAAGTACTAAACTAAATGTACAGTATCTAAGGCATATTAATGAACATGTAGATGTGCCCAGTATGCATTACAGTATTTTTGAGTTCTAGAGAAGTTCTGTACCCCTGTAAAGTTGGAAAGCATTGCGCATTCATGTCAAAACCTGCAAGTCACCTCTTGGATTGCCAAAATTTTGAATGAACTGATGGCTGGATATAAAGGAGTTATGCTCTGAGGTTACAGCACTACCCAAAACGATGAATGGATTAAACACCCCACGTCCTATATCATAGACTCTTTTGAGAGAGAAGGTTTTGAGCAAGTGGTTCATCTACAAGGCTAATCTAATACCAGACTCCTCTGAAAAATCTCTGTGAAGTTTTTCCCACCCTCACATGTGTCTGGGAGTAAAGCCAATTTTATCACTACTTGGAAAGTGTTTTTGCCCCTGCCGCCAGGGAAAAATAAAAGTTGGCACCTATCCAATATGCCTCCAGAAAACCAAGGTACATGGAGCAGTTTCTTACCATGGTGGCAGGGGCAGCCTAGGGATAAATGCTGTTGCCACCAGGTCCAACTTCCCCACATGTGTTGAACTGGGAAGCAACTGCAGCAGAACTGGCATGCCTGCCTCATTGGGTTCATATAATAACCCTAATGCAGGCAAGAACACTCACTCCTGCTGCAGCCCTATCCACTCCAGTCCCACTCATACCTCCTGGAAACAGAGGCATGAGGGACAGTTTCACAGGGCAACGACACCAGCAGCAGAGACATCTATTTCCAAGTTGCCATGCTGCCTCCATGGTCAGATGAAACTGCCCCGCATCTCTGTTTCCAGGAGGCACGTATGGCGCGGGACCAGGAACGGCTGCGTCTCCCTGTCCTAGGATCATCACATAGGCCTTAAGCAAGTGTGGGCTGCACACAACGCATGTCGGGCATTTTTACCTAGTGGTGGCAATGCCAGAAGTGACAATGCCTTGGTTGAGAAGCAGTGAGGTCAGCTGAGGCAGCACAAACAGCAGTTTTTCAACTTGGGGGGGCTGCCAAATGCAAAAATGTTGCGCAGGGTGGCCCTGACTTAAAACATTGAGAACTACTGCTTTCAATGCTAGCAACAGGTATAAAAAGTCAGTCTTCAGTAGAATGGTTGTAGCACTTACAGTGATCAGCTGTGAAAGCGCCAGTGGAGACGGTAGTTTTGCCTGAGGGACACTTGATGCAGGAGGGACTTCCAGTCTGCGACTGATAGAACCCGTGAGGACACGGAGTGCATTCGCCATTCTGGAAGAAGCTTCCTGGAGGACAGACAACTGGAAAAGAAATAGACATACTATATCTATAGACTTACTATGTCTATGGACACCCATATGCATACAAATTCAAATAAATTCCATCAACAAAACCACTCTGGTGGACCTTTCCATTGGCTCTGGATGGCTTTGGAACAAGACCTTAATGTGCACGTGTGTTCCTAGGAAAGGTTTTTGTTCCATTTAAAATATTTACTGGAACCCCGCACTGAGTACAGAATATCGGCCACGCTCTTAATTCTGATGAGGCTAAAGGAGGCTCTCAAATCAAAGCATATCGTACTCTGGCCAAATCCACATGCAGGCCAAACCAAGTGTGACTTTTGTGGGTCCCATTGTTTTTTAACAAGACAACTCCACTGTGGGGGCAGACTCTGAAATTCAACACTAGCTTCCGACAAAAAAAGGAAAAAATTCATTTTAACAGAAACTCAGAGGATACCTAGTGGAAGGACATCATGTGGTAATGCTTTCCATCCCAAATGTCTGGTAATGAAATCACAGGTAGGTAGGTCCAAGCAGGACAGCAATTGTTGGATTAAAGAAAACTAATCATATACATGACAACTGAAAAACAAATAGAGATTTCTCCCTATAGGCTAATAATACCTCTCTGAGTTCAGCATTTCAGAACAAACCAAGAGCAACATTTCCAGCTGACATTCTGTGTGTTTCAAAGATGATTCATTGTCTTCTCACCAGTCATGTAATACCATTTTTCTTTTGGGTCATTCAGACCAGCATCACCAGCACAGATGAATCCCAGATACATTTACAGGACAATATGTTGACATGCAATTTCACAGCTGCCTTCCAGATGCAGATTTCCTTCAAAAATGATCAGATGTGTATTTTGGGACGACAAGGTGTAAAATTTCACCTCTTCTCTTTCCCAGTATACTGACAACTACTTCAGCCAGGCTTTTTCGTGCTTTTATCTAATAGCTGATTGAATTAGCT